CAAACTGTTAGGTCAATGTGTTTTCTCCATGTTCAGTATATCATGCAGATAAAATCACCTTTTAATGGTGGATATAATCATGATTTAAATGAGATAACCATCTTTATATAAAAACAGTATTAAATACATAATTTCTGTGATAGTCATTTTTTTGTCTGTTTAACACGTGTCTTTATGAAATTATATTAACTAAAACTATAAATCTGAGTGATTTATTTTTTTCTACCTTGACATGTTATGTTACTGTTAGTTTATGTTACTGTTTCTCTTCATAGTTTTATTTCTTATGCACCTTTTATGTTTACATTTACTCACTTTTATGAACTCGCTGTGAACTTCCATTGTGTATGGAAATTGCTGTATAAATCAACTTGCCTTACCTGCATATAGTCAGTCATAAAAATAACAAATGTGACGTGTCTTCATTATTGAGATGCACATTAGGACTTGAGTTATCAGTGTATTATAAAAAGAACACAAAACCAGAATCATGTTATATTCTGATACAGAGTCAACATGTTTAGGGTTCATCTGTTCTCTGGATATTTTCCATGAATATCCACTGAGCCAGCATCTTAGATGGAGTTTCAGGTGCTAATTATTCTAAACAAAGGAAAGTGTGTATTGTATTGCCTGATCTCTAAACAACTGCAAAGTTAAACTGTGTAGATAATGAAGTTCATCCAACCTTTCTGAGCTTCAGTCTAGTTGCTGCTTTTACATATTCAGGATTCTTGTAGTTAGTCAACGCTTCCAGAAAACACTTATATATTTTTCATTTGCATTAAAATGTTAGAGGTGCTGTTTGTTTGTTTGTTTCCTTGCTGTTCCTTTTTTTGTATTTAATTAAATGTGGCACCATATATTCTGTTTTCCTGTTTTCAACATAAAAAGTAACAAATACAAATGTTTTTTTAAATTAACTCACTGTATGTTGTCTGAGATGTATGTCTGTTTGTCACTTTGATATGTGTAGAAAACTCCAGCAGCTTTCATCTCTTGACAGTCTGTTAGGAGACGATCTGTTTGACACAAAAATACTGCAACGAACATACAGGAAAATGTCTGGAAATCAGTGAAATGATCAGCAGCTCTCTTCATGCTTCGGATGTCAGAGATGCTTTAAAAGAATCACAAGATGGCAGTGAAACCATAATGTTATAAGACTGTGGATTGTGGAATGCAGTCAATGAGATCCTCCTGTTCACAGAATTGAGCTTGTGAGACAAAAGCGAATGAACCGGTTGCTTCAGATGCACCATTCTTGCAGTGTTTTTTGCTTACTTTAAATCTGCAGTGTTTTGTGTCCAATATCTTCACAACCCAGTTCAATCTAGTTTTATTTTCAGTTTACTCATTAATTAATGAACTGTAAGTATGATTCACTTCATGTGATCTCATCATCATTTTTTTTCCAATGCACCTTTACAGAGAATATGACCCTATGTGTACACAATACTACATGAATAAATGAAGACGATATGAATGTTAATGTTAGATCATAACAGAGTTTTAGCACACAAAGGCATTTGTATGAACTGTATCAGATTGTACTTTTCATGCTGGATTGTAATGAGAAAAATATCTAGTAAAAAATATCTGCCCTCTTCTGGACAGAGACCGATCAGAAAAATACATTTTGTGTAAGATACTACAAGAGCTGATCTATTTATGATAAAAATCAAAACTTAAACTTAGACTCCTAACTTTAAATTAGGAGTCTAACCTGTTAATTATTACAAATACTAACCCCTAACCATCTGAACCTTAACCTTATTCTTAAATTTGGACTGCAAGAAGGTATGTGTGTACAGTAAACGAATCTAGACTTATGAAGATAGCCTACAACAATAACACTGGTATGGATCAGACTATTTGTAAGAATTACACTTTATATGAGTACGCTTATTTATCTATGGGCGAATTCATCTGAGTTACTTTGTAGTCACTCTGCTGAGAATGTGATGATAACATGCGCCACTAGAGAGAGATGTTCACACTAAACATGACATAATAAACAGTCACATTCATTCTCATGTGTGTCAAACAAACACATGAGAGATGTGCGATAAAAGCTGTGCATTCATTCTTACATTTTGATTTCTCTCATTCTAATTAATCACAGCTTAACTAACAGTTATTGAAGGGGTCTGGTGATTTTAAGGGCTGATCTCTAGTCATCTTCATCTCTGACATGATGAAATTAAAGCGAAAGAAGCAAAGCACACATAATCCTACATCTGTAAATAGATGTGCGAATGGTCATTTACTGAATCCAGTCTTTCTATACAGGTTGTAAATGTGTTACCCTGTTGTTTTGTTTTGTCTTGATTTCCTTGCACTACAGGTAGAGTAGTTGATGGTTTGTTATTAATACAGGAACGTGTGTGTCAAGTATGTGTGCGTGTCAGTTTGTGTTCAGGAAATGAACATGTTTGTTTCTATGAAATATTTGAGCTCTAAAGTTCTTCACGAAATCTGACTAAAGCAGGTAGAGCAGGAAGAACTGGTCAAACGCACCATTTGAACACAGATAGTTAGTTCGACAGGGAAGTTGCCTGTAACACCCGAGGAGTTTTTCCACGTAAGTACATTTATAAAGCTATACAACTACTAAAAATGTGTCGCTTAGATTATTTAAATCTATGGTTATGGTTATTTATGGATTTTGAGAGTGTTTTTAGAAATGTTTGACAATGTCTTTGCAAATGCCATGGGCGTTACTGTTAAAACGTACTGGAAAACAAACCTGGATATACGGAATCTAGAAGCATTAGACTGAAATAAATCGCATAATGGCATGGACATTACTCTGTTTTTGTTGATTGTTTTGTTTGGGGAATGGCCGTAACCACCAAAGACAAGTGTTAGGGGGACAAGTAGGCTACCCACCACCAAATTGTCAAATTTATTTGGCCAAATTGGCCCTTTATTTAGCCGCTTTTCCACCGAAATTACCTAGAACAATTTGTCCCAGGTACTTTTTTAGAGTAGGGCTGTCAAAATGGCTGAAAAACTAAATTCGAATTTTGTACTTAAATATTATTAAAATTCGAATTATATTCGAATTTAAAATGCATAATTTCAGTTAGGGTGAAGAAAAGCTTTTGGCTTGTTTCCTGAGACCACAAGAGGGCACATCGAACAAAATATTACTAATGCACGTTTATTCAAAGCATAATATAACATGACTATCTGTGAAAAAAGTGCATAATGTTTAAAATAATGTTTCTAAACCAATTATAATTAAGTTGCTTAAACAACTATAAACAAAACAGCATCATGTATGTATGCATAGTTTAATACAAAGGGCCGAAAGCCTATCACACAGAGTATATTTTTCATTTAAAAACACGAGATGCAGTGGGATGGGGAAAAAACCCCGCCATAAAGTCTCGAGATATGTTTT